TAGGCCCACAGTGTTCCGAAATGTTGTCCCGGAGTCCCAAATGGGGGAAAGGAGGAGGAACAGTCCTCTAGTGTAGTGACTAAAGATACAGTCACATGGTGAGGAAGTCCCAGAGGACCATGGGACTTAGTGGTCGGGCCTGTGGGCCTTGATATAGTGGCAGTGTTGGCGAACATGGCCATGGACAGAAAAGGGACTTGGTAGGAACTGACAAAGGGATATTGGGGAAGGCTATTCCCTATGTCTGTGGGCATCCTAAGGATGCTAAGGAGTGGATCTGGGATGACCACTCATGGACGGATGGCCCAGTCTTGGAGAGACAGGATTGTGATGCAAGTGGTATTGGACCACTAGTGCGGCAAAGGTGAATGGGCATGGCCTTAGCATAACGGGCCGATATGTTAATGGTACTTTTGGGTGTTGGTCTTGGGACTGGACACGTGGAGCACTTGGACTAAGTGCAAGGGATGAGTGGTATGGATGCCATTCTCGGGGCTAGCAAGTCCCAAGTCCTAAATTGGATTTAAGGAGGTTGTGAATGAGACTCCTCCAAGTGGTTAAAGGTGTGGTTAAATGACTAAAGTAGAATGGAAAAATTAGTTGCTTACACTGTATTCTACACTGTGAATGTTGCTATCAATTGAGTTTCATTGTTCAACTACAACTACAAAACATCAAATAATTGCATTAATTGTTGTTCTAGAGTCAAAAGAGGAGGAAGTTACTACTCTACCATAAAGGTGAATGAAAAGGAAAGAGTGAAAGATAAGAAGTTAAAAAAAACTATAAGAAAAGGAAGATTTAAACAATGCAAAAGGTAGATTTAAACTAAAATCTCATAAAGTAAGATTTGTTCTGATCTAGATCCTTCATTAGAATATGGCTAATCAAGCAAATAAACTTCTTAATATAGTCCTTAAGCATAATTTTCCCTTGTTAAAAATATTGAAGTTTTGTGTGAGCATTCTCCATGTCATAGTGAGGGGAAAAATGTAAGCAAAAAGCAACCTCAAACTCATCCATGGTAAACACTAGTGGTTTCTTATCTGCAATATAAAATTCCTCAAGCCAATTCCACCACCAAAAATCTGCATTATATAAAACTATTGGAACAGCTAATAAAGCTTTTGCATCTGGAGTTCCTTAGAACAAGAAGTGTCACTGATAACATTTGATATATATAATGTGTAGAGAGAAGTGTTATTGATAACATTTTGATATATATAATGTGTAGAGAGTTTGTGAAATTATTAAGTTCACTATAACTTTAATATTTTAAAGTTTATAATGTTTGTCTTAAACTACAATTAAAACTTAAACTCAACTCTTCAACTTATGTAGATCTCATAATTTTTTTTATTTCAGCTTATACACTTTTTTGCCTTTTGCAAGGTTTATGGGCACTGGTTGCTATATCCAGGGCCTCCAAAGAAGAAATATGCACCCCAGTTATCTCCCTTGTCAGCAGCAACACTAGTAGCAGTGTAGCATTTAGGTACTTCAGCTCCACTTTTCATCCCAATTGCTGGCTGCATTACTCCATTGGAATCCAGGTACTGTATTCTTCTCTGGTATGCAGCTTTAAGATATCCCTGGGATGGAAATTCTCCACTTCCCATACCAGTCTTTGTGTGTCTTACTCCACTTTCTTTATCATAGCAGACTTCACCGCCAGCTTCCAATGTCTCAGCACCATTCTGTAGAGATTGAAAAAGGCTTGCAGGCCAGTATCCAATACTTTCCCCGTCAATTTGTAGCCACCAATTCTTTGAGCTATCGTCCTGAAAAATTCAAAACCATTTAATAGCTTTTATGCATGTTTTTTACGTAGTCTGGACTATGGACCTGGAAAACACATAAGGTTTTCTCATATTGTGTAGAGTCTGGAGTGGATACGCTCGAAAATGATCCTCCTAGTACGTACTTGTTGCTTGTTTGTACAAAGCCTTGGCATTGCAGGTTATAACAGCCAGTTTTATCGTAGCCATCAGCCTGCCATTGACAATGCTTATACAATGTTTTATTACCAGTCTGGTTTACCGTCCAGTAGACAAAGAGTCGAGGTCCTGTTCCTCCATAGAATTTAGGATAAATCTTCAAGAAAGGTTCAGTAAATAAGAATATGACTGATTTCTAGAAGTGCGTACATACCTGCCATCCAGCTTCAATTGTGTTCAATGGGCCTAATTTTTTTGAGATGATCCATAACTGTGCCAGACTGAACTCGGAAGTTTTTTCCACGTATGGCTCCCAAACATTTATAGTTGTTTCCATCCCTCGGAAGTTGCCGTTCAACTGGTTGTAGCCATGCTGTCATGGTCATGCAAAGTATCATCAACTCTTGAGAGTTTTGATCAGATCCTGCTAGATTACTGTATTACCTCGTGAGTTTCTACGCCAGGTTCTTCATCAGCCAATGGCACTCGATTTTTTCCAGAGGAATGTTTTTTGGTTAGCTTCCTCACAGAATCAAATCTTGCGGCTATGGTATTCGAAGTGTGCAACACCGGTATTGTGTTTTCCTTGCACGATCCAACTTCTAAACCAAACAGCTGACCGGAATTTTCTGATCGATTGTGCTCTTGTTTGCTCATCATTTGAGGAGGCTAGACGAGAAATCATTAGTTTTCATCCATGTTGGACAGCTTACCAGAAGCTGCAGTGTCTGGTTTCTTAGAGACAGTTGATTTTTAATTGGGACGCAGAGGATGATGTCTCCATTTGATAACTGCAAGTTGGAATCTATGTGTTCACATGGGTCTGAAAATGAGGAAACAAACCGTATGATTTGTGACAAACGGAGGATTCACGTCTCGGAGAAAATCTCTCATCTCCTCATTGAGATCTGCTGCTGCATAAGCAAGTAAGAAGCATACCATCAGCAGCAATGCTTCTGTTTCTGACATTCTTCGAAGTGGAAAAAGAAGAAAAAATTAATCAAGTGAGAAACTCTTTGATTTGCAGATCGATGAGGTTCCTTTTAAATGACTTCGTAACGTGTGGACATGGAAATCAAAGAAGAGAAAACTGGTCTATCGTGCAGCACGGGTTTGCTTGCGACCCCATCGTTAACAACAATCCCCGTGACCTCGCCCAAAGACTGAAATGTTCCGTGTAGACTGGTTTGAATGTGACTGTGTTGAGCAAGCACCTTATCCAATTTAAATATGCCGTGTATAACCGCAACTTTTGGTGCTTTTCGTAAACTATTTCTTGTAAAGTAGCAAAAGATTTGCATAGTAAATCGTTTATTATTTTGATCCTAGTGATCTGATTCTCGCTTAGGGTGCGACAGGTCCTGAGTTCAATTTTCGATACCCATCTTCCGGGGCGGATGTGATCGAGTACTTTGCACAACTTCTCCGCGTCCTGGCAGAGGTTTGTGTGCGATGCCGTAGGAGATTCAACTTACTGCTTTCTGGCGACGATCGGTCACGTCCTAAAGTGCGACTGCTGTACCTCATGCACTTCCCCTGGTTTTTGCAGGGATCTTCCTAGAGTTGTTTTGATTGTCAGATCGAGAGCGTAGCATCGCTTTCAACGATCAAAATCTAGTTGGATCGTGCAAGGAAAACACAATACCAGTGTTGCACACTTCCGAATACCATAGCCGCAAGATTTGGTCATCCCGCCTGGATCCTCATTCCCTATAAACCCTAGAAGAAATGTGTTTCTCCCACCACCGCCGCTATGCTCCTCCTGCTGCCCGCCCACCAGCGCAGCACGACGCTTCCTCACGAGGAGGGATACGGCATGCACATATCACCAACCCCAAGGAACTTTCTCAAGCGCACAGCAGGTGACATTTCAAGCGATCTATGCCAGGAATGTGGGCTCTTTGTCCCTTGATCGCTTCAAGAATAAGCCTGCGTCAAGAGTGACCTGGAAATTGACTTCCAATTCCTATTCTCGACAACGGCATCTTGTTTTGTAGAACTCCAAGCTTGCCAAGGCGGAGGAGTAGCTACACGAGCATTGAATATAAGATCTCAAACTAGAATGCTATGCTGAAAGTAAAGCATAACGCTGAGGTGATGCACCATAGCGTGTTTTCTTTCTTGCATCTTGAGATGAAACGCCATGAGGTGAGCAAAACACACAAGGTCTCTCAAAATGTTCTGAGAAGGTTGTCATCTTTCTTCTTTGCAACCTGGAGTATCAATTTACATACCTGAGACATCACCATCTAATGTAACACCTTTGACAGAAGCCTTTATAGTTCTTGGCATTTTGGTAAGCAAGCCACCACCTTCTTTCGTGTTTTAAGTACTCTTTTGCAGCTTGGATATCTCACGGACAGCATAAAAAAATCTCTTCTTTCGCGAAAGAGATGAGTACTAGAGGCTGTCAGTGCCATCCTTGAGACAAACGGCAGTGAAAGGCTCAAAAAGAAGTCATAGCGCTGAAATCCACATGACTACACTCAACCTCCGATAGCATACGTAGCTGCAACTCCCTTTCCAATACTTGCTGTGCCTCAATTTCATCAAATCTAAACATCTGTGGCATGACACCCTACTTGCGAACCTGGGCTACCATTTGAAAACTGTGCATCCTCTTCTTGTCCTTGGAACTGGCATGGGTGAGCACCAGGCTGTGTGGCCGTGAAGACGGTAAAGCCTGCAACCTCTCTCTCCCTGGTTTGGCATTTTATGATAGTGTTGGTTTTAACGTCGAGCGTTCAGCACAGCATGGAGATGCATCTGCCTTACTTTGCCAAAGATTTAAGCAGGTAACTCTTGTTTCTAAATCGTTCTAGAGTAATTGGTGTGTGAATTTGCTACTGCTATGCTAGGACCTCCAAAGGGAGAAGGCCAGAGTGGAGGATGAGAATTGTCTTGTACATGCTAGTTTGTCTCACATTACATTTGGCATCGTATCATCTTTTGTCCTGTGGTATATCCACTTTGCCCATACCTTTGTCGGATAATTAGGTTGAGCGTTTAAAATTCATAATAATCCCGGCCATAGCCCTAAAATCTTGAGATTCTAGGGTTCTTGAGAGGTTCTAGGATGCATGGCGCGGCACGGCGATCATGAGGAGAAGCGCCTTGCGCCGCCCTGGAGCGTCGAGACGGTTGCTCCAGACGCTGGCAGGACCGAAGGCGACGGCGCCGGGGAGAATGCGAGCGTGGAGTGGAAATGTCGGTGGCGCCAAGTCGCCCGAGGTCGTGAAATCGCATCAGCTGCTCGGGATTGTGGAGGATTACGACATCGAGGATCTGGAGGAAGCGCTGGGTAACGTTCCAGGGGTTTTTGCGGCTGAATCCGTGGCCGATGTGCTGAGGAGCGTCAAGAATCCCGATGCCGGAATGCTCTTCTTCAAATGGGTGGAACGCGAGCGGTCTTTCAAGCACACGACCTTCACTTGCAACCAGATGCTTCGCCTCCTGATGAAGGTAAGGCCCCTCGAGGGCTACTCCTTCTTCCGGGAGAGATTCAGCGATCCTTCCAAGCCCAGCAACTCGACTTATGGTGCGCTGATCACAGGGTTCTCTCGAGCTGGCAACTCCAAGATGGTGCTGGAGATCGCCAACGAGATGCTGGCGCGGAGATTCTCCCCCGACGTGATCACCCACAACACCATCCTCAAGGCCTACTGCCAGATCGGCGACTTGGATCGAGCACTCTCGCATTTCCGCGGCAAGATGTGGTGCTCTCCCACGGCCTTCACGTACTGCATTCTCATCCATGGCCTCTGCCAGTGCCAGAGGATCGATGAAGCTTACCAGCTCCTGGACGAGATGATCCAGAAGGACTGCCACCCCGACGCTGCGGTATACAATTGCTTGATCGCTGGGCTTTGCAAGATGGGAAAGATCGACGCTGCCAGAAATGTGTTGAAGATGATGCTGGAGAGATCGTGCGTTCCGGACGTGATCACTTACACGTCCTTGATCGTTGGGTGCTGCCAGACGAATGCCTTGGACGAAGCAAGGAAGCTCATGGAGAAGATGAAGGAGTCGGGCTTGACGCCGGATACCGTGGCTTACAACGCGCTTTTGAATGGCCTCTGCAAGCAAAACCAGCTCGAGGAGGTGAGCAAGCTCTTGGAAGAGATGGTGGAGGCTGGACGGGAGCCGGATACGTTTAGCTACAACACTGTGGTGGCTTGTCTCTGCGAGTCCGGGAAGTATGAAGAGGCTGGCAAGATCCTCGAGAAGATGATAGAGAAGAAGTGTGGGCCGGATGTGGTGACTTACAACAGCCTGATGGACGGGTTTTGCAAGGTTTCCAAGATGGACGAGGCTGAGAGGCTGCTGGAAGACATGGTTGGAAGAAGGTGTGCTCCGACCGTGATAACTTACACGACGCTCATCGGCGGATTCAGCAGAGCGGACAGGCTAGCGGATGCGTACCGGGTCATGGAGGACATGTTTAAGGCGGGGATCTCCCCCGACTTGGTGACTTACAATTGCCTCCTCGATGGGCTCTGCAAGGCCGGGAAGTTGGAGGAGGCGCACGAGCTCTTGGAGGTGATGGTTGAGAAAGACTGTGCTCCGGACGTGGTGACGTACTCGATCCTGGTGAACGGGCTGTGTAAGCTGGGGAAGGTGGACGACGCTCGGCTGCTTCTAGAGATGATGCTCGAGCGCGGCTGCCAGCCGAACCTGGTGACTTTCAACACTATGATCGACGGGTTTTGCAAGGCTGGGAAAGTTGATGAAGGTCACAAGGTGCTGGAGCTGATGAAGGAGGTCTCGTGCACCCCGGATGTTGTGACTTACAGCACTCTCATCGATGGTTACTGCAAGGCCAACCGGATGCAGGACGCGTTTGCCATCCTTGGGATCTCTCCGGACAAGGCGAGTTACAGCAGTATGCTCGAGGGGCTGTGCAGTACAGGGAAAGTGGAGGAAGCGCAGGAGGTTATGGATCTGATGACAAAGCAAGGGTGTCCTCCGACGAGCTCGCACTACGCACTTATCATCGGTGGCCTTTGCGACGTGGAGAGAGGAGACGAGGCGCTCAAGATGCTTCAGGTTATGAGCGAGAGAGGTTGCGAGCCGAATCTCTACACGTACAGCATTCTCATCAACGGGCTGTGCAAGACGAAAAGAGTGGAGGATGCCATCAACGTACTCGACGTGATGCTCGAGAAAGGATGCGTTCCGGACGTGGCTACTTACACCAGCTTGATCGATGGCTTCTGCAAGATCAACAAGATGGATGCGGCGTATCAGTGCTTCAAGACGATGCGAGACAGTGGCTGCGAGCCTGACAAGCTTGCTTACAACATTCTTATCTCGGGCTTCTGTCAGTCTGGAAACGTCGAGAAGGCGATCGAGGTGATGCAACTGATGCTGGAGAAGGGTTGCAATCCGGACGCTGCCACATACTTCTCGCTGATGAGAAGCCTGACTACGGAATAAGCAAGGACAAATCATCGTCTTTCGAAAGGGCAAAAGCTCGACAGTCAAGTCCTCTCACGACTCGCTGAAGGGGTTTTTGTGGAAGAACAATGGAGTACTCGTTTGAGGGAGAGAAGCAGCAGGTCGAGGTCCATGCGGTATTGTTTCCATTCCCAGCTCAGGGACATGTAGGTCCATCACTGCTGCTTGCTCAGCGGCTGGTCGAGAAGAACGGGATGACTGTAAGTTTCGTGACTTTCGAGGACCGTCTTCCCCGCGTCTACGAGGCTCTGGAAGGTTTCGGGATCAAAGCCGATGGAAATTCGCTGCGAGTTGTGGCTCTGCGTGGACAGCAACTCCCTCCACAAAATTTTAGCAGGACTGGCCACGACAACGCCGAATCTCTTCACTTCATGCTGCCCCAGTGCTTGGAGGCCGAGGCAGAGTTTGAGGAGATGGTGGGCAGTATGAAGAGAGCTTCTCCTCCGGCGACTCGGTTGTGTATAGTGAGCGACATGCTAGTCAGCTGGACTCAAGACGTCGCCAACAGGCTGGGGGTTCCCCGGTACATCTTCTACCCATCTCCGGCTTCCATCTTGGCTGGAGCGTTTCACGTCAAAGCCCTCCTCTCTCAGTCTCGGCTTCCACTGCCAGCTTCGACTGTGGAAGGAGAAGAAGCTTTCGTCGAGAGCAAAGAGATATACACAGCGCCCTCTTCGACAGTACTCCAAAGTCTATTCAGGACTTCTACATCAAGAACTGCCTGCGAGTGCACGAAGCAGCGGGAATTCTCATCAACACCTTCGAAGCTCTGGAAGGGGCAGCACTCGCGGCAGTTCGAGACAACAGGCTACTCAATCCAAACTCGGTACGCATCCTTCCGGTCGGTCCTTTACTCCCCAGGGAAGAAGTTTTGAGCAGGCGAGCGAAAGAGCTCGTGTCCAGGGAAGAGCAGTGCATGCTGTGGCTGAGCAAGCAGCCCCGCCGCTCCGTCGTCTACATCTCACTGGGAAGCATAGTGCTGCTGCGCCTGGATCAGATCGAAGAGCTCGCGTTTGCATTGGAGGCAAGCCAGCAGAGGTTCCTGTGGGTCTTGCGATCGCCAGACTCGTCATCGGCGGATCGAGAAGTTCTTCCAGAGGGATTTAGAGGCGAGCGGGGGCTCGTAGTTCGTGATTCGTGGGTTCCTCAGCTGGCCATCCTGGGACACGAATCCACCGGGGTGTTCTTGACGCACTGTGGATGGAACTCGGTCTTGGAGGGCCTTTGCATGGGGGTGCTCATGCTCACGCTGCCATCCTTTTCGGACCAGGCTCTAAACTCGAGGATGGTGGAAGAGCTCCAGGTTGCGTGGAGGGTGTCCAAGACGAGCACGGATCGTCTATCCAGGCACAGCATCGAGGGTTTGATCCGGCGAGCCATGGAAGAACCAAGGCAAAAGATCGAGAGCTTGATGGCTACTGCGAGAAACATCAAGATTTTGTAGCATGGGCTACAATAACAAATTAAAGGTGGTGAAGAAGAACTCGAAGGCTACAACAAATAATAAATTCTTCAAATGAAAGATATCATCTCTATTGTTTTTTTAAGGGGTTGATTGTTTTACTACAACGTATTGTTTACTCATGTACTTAGATAAGCAAGACATCCATAAGTCCCTTGGCACGACCTCGTGACACGTGTGGGTCAAGCGTCGTGCCACCTCAGCGGGCACTGCCACGCGTCCTTCCTGGCCAACCGTGTAGAGACATCCATGGACCCATGTGTTTGTAAAGAAAGCCGGTTTCCTCTCCTCTTGGCAGCCTCGCAAATCCATATAAATAGCACGCGAATACAATGCCAGAGAATTCTTGGCGATCTCCTCCTCTCTATTCTGAGGAAAATTTCCTCTCTCGATCAATCAATCGAGCAGTGTTTGTGTCGAGTAGCGGCAATGGGTGGACAATCCTCAGACAGAAGCGATCATCGCGGCAATGATATCGAGCTCCTCACTCTCAAGAACGCGCAGCTCTTCCTGGTGGATCAGGAGGAGAGCGTCGCGATGCAGCGCGGCGATTTCAAGCTGGTCCTCACCAAGCAGCTGCATTCGCCGCTGGCGGCGGTGGTGGCGACCGTCAAGGATGTGGAGTGGCCCGTTGGAAAGGACTGCCCGGTTCTCAAGCTCGGCCGGGGATGCTATAGCTTTTGCCTGCCCGGATTCTCTTACGGCCTCCTCCTCGATCGCGCCACGCCCGACGCATCGGCTTCGTCTTCGTCCTCGTCTTCTTCGGACGATTTCTCCGGTGCCATCGACCAGCTGGAGCTTTTCCTCGAGAAGTACTGCACGTACGAGGATCGCTCCAAGGAAGTGGGAGGTAAGCTCGATTGGATCGAGAAAGAAGAGATCACATCTTTGTTTTCCTTTTCTCAGCCAGGTTCCACTGGGATCAACGCGACGAGGGCGCTGCAGTGGATTTCTGGAACCACGCCGCAGGTAAAGTCGAGATGATTTGCTCCGGGCTCCCAACCGCCTGGGCGGAAAGAAACTCTAGATCGGTTCCATTGCGTCACGGAACTGGAGCTGGCGCTGGCACTATCGCTGGCGAGCAGCAAAAGATCCAGCAAGCCTTCACAAGTTCCGGGTCTCACAAGCCTTTGTCTCTCAGCCCCCGGATGATGAAGAGAGTCCAGCAGGCGCGACGCCTGTCCGCCATCGCCAAGCTCTTCTCGCGAGCGCTCCTCAAGGGAGCAATCAACAACCGCAAGCACGTCACCGCCGCCACCGCGACGGGCAAGGGAGCCTCGGACGAGGCGGTTGCCAGCGTCGATACCTTCGCCAAAGTCGTGGAAGCCATCGAGTGCACCGCTCCAAAACCCCCGGCAAAGTTGGTCCAGGGATCCAACAAGCTCGCGGATAATCGCGAGCAGCACCAGTTCATCCAGCAAACTTCCTGGACTCTAAACAACTTCGGCCTCCAGCTTCTCATCGGCGCCGTGGCCGCGTCCACGGCTATAAACCTGTCATCGTCGTCCTCCAGGCCTTCTTCCTCATCGACGTCGTCGACGTTTTCTCTTCCGGAAAGGCCTCCACTTCCGCTCTCAAGTCCCTTTCTCCAACCGGCTAGCCGACATGGTTTCCGTCCTGTTCTTCCGCAACAGTCCCACCAAGGCGATCATCACTGACGGAACTCCTCTAATCCTCAAATATTTGACTGACTCTTAGATCGTGGAATTGTATATCATCATAGCTCACTTGTCCTCCTTAAATCCCAGTTCACTGTTCATCCAACTCCTGGGTTTTTCACTGCGCTGCTGCTCCCAGAGGATCAAATGTTCCATCTTAGAAGCCGGCCACTTGCTGTTAACTTAATCGCCTCTCTCATCAATCATCCAGATCTGGGAAACCACTTCCCATGTCGTCAGCGTTTGATGACACGCGTTCTCCCACTGACGTTAGATATTCTTCCCCGCGAGGTGGCACTGCAAATGCAAGTCTTGTGTATATAAGTAAGTATATATGCCAGATTTTTGTAGCAACGCTACCTTGTGCTTGTGTGGTTCGCCACGTTTTCCCGACGGCTGGCAAGAGGTGGTCTCTTTCTCGGGGTCCATAGGAAGTAAAGATATTTTTAAGTAGCTATATAGCCCGTTTGGGAGATTCCGCTGGGCCCCAAAATACATTCCCTGTGTCCTCATGAGATCGCTCGGACAAAGAAAAGCAAACCTCAGTAGCTAGTACAATCTTGAGAACGAAAGAAACAAAAGCAGACCTTTGCTCTCACTCTGCTCCGTGCTCGCATCAAAAAACACACTTAAGCACTGAATCTGTAACGGCACCGAAGGTTCCGAGAACATAAACGTCTTTTAAAAGTTATGGTCAACAACAAGAACAAGAACAAGAAAAGCAACATCACCACCTCTCTTATTTATAATAACCTCCACAAAAGAAACAGAGAGATGAGGATCCTCTCGTATCTGGATGAAACAAAAACCACCACACAAAGTGAGGTTCAGCACAAAAACAAGCAAAGAAAGAAAGTACCTACATCGCTTGTAACGTCACATCTTCCTACGAGTTAGGCAGACACGCAAGTCACTGTTTGGACGATCTCAGCGCTTTAACAGTCATGACGAGCTCCTCCCTCTCCGACTGTATCTCCGCGTATCGCATGCTCATGCTCAGGTATCTCTCTTGCATCTCCTTGAGCTCTGCCTCGAGGAACAGTGTCTGCTTTTTGAAGCTCACGAGGTTGGCTATGATTCCCTCAACTTCACTCGTACCTTGAGCAGCAGCACCCGAGACGCTCTTGGCAAAGACGCTGCATCCATCCAGAGCAGACAATTGGAGCAGCCAATCGGGAAAACTTGCCTTACCTCTGGAGCTGCAGCTTGTACATGGTGTTGGCCTCCAATGCCTCGGCCAATTCCGTCTCCAGGTACACAAGCCGCTCGAGTGTGTCCCCCCACAGCGAGGCATCTTTGAGTTTCAGAAACTTCTGCTCTAGCTGCTCGTTGTCCTGGAAAAAGAAAAAAAAAAAAAAACAGGACAAATGCTTTCAAGCGAAGGAGAGCAAGAGAAAAAGAATGAATGAACTCGACCTCTTGCAAACGCTGTAATTCAAGCTGCAACAGCTCGTACGCACTCAGCTTCGACGTTAGCTCATGCTCCCGGCGGATTAGCTCTGAATTGTGATTTTGCAAGCGAGTGAGCTGCAGCGACGATCAGATAAATAAATCAGATAAAACCATTACATCTCGACACGTACCTCTCTCTTCAGTTGCTCCAGTCCAGAATCCACTTGTTGACCAGCGAGCTGCTCATTAGCCAGCTCCAGATATTCTATTTTCTTCCAAAGCAACGCTTCCTTCTCTTGAAACTCGAACCTCAAAAGCTCCAAGCCAGGAGAATTTGAAGAAGCTTCCACCTAACGTACAGTACCTCCTGGTTAGAGCACAGAAATTTCATTTTTTAAAACAGGCTTACCTCTTGAGAAGCAACCATCTTCACCAGTGTAGCATGCTTTTCTTGCAACTCGGCGATTGCAAGTTTTAGTTTTCCGTATTCTTCCTTCAAAAGTGCACACTCCAACTCCTTCTCCGCCAGCAGATGTTTATCGCTCTCCACTTGTGATTGAAGATGAGAGATTGTTTTCTCGAGGCTGGCCCTGGCGAGCTTGCATTCTTCCACTTCTGCTAGTGCCTTCATAAGTCCAGATTCATCACGCCGGTTGCCGACTTCGTCTTCAAGGGTCCTCTTGGCAGCTTCCAAATGGACAATCTTTTCACACAACGTAGCCTCCCTTTCTTGTGACTTCTCCAGCGTTGAGCTTAAACAGACAGCTTTCGAATGAAGCTCGGCCTGGAATAGACATTGTTAGCTATGTAAAACGTGCAGTGACTTTAGCTTACCTCCAACGATGCAATCTTTGAACGGAGCTCTATGTCCTGGTCGTCATGTTGTTGTTTCCACTTGCGACGACCATGTTTCATGTCCTGAACTTCGTTACTGTTCTCGGTGCTCCTTTCTGCTGTCTATTTTCCACATAGTTTACGAGGAGAAAATAATAGTGAATAGAAACTAGTACCTCTTGCCCCTGGCTACAATCTGTCTGCGTCGATATTGAAACACTGTTTTCTCTTTGTTCGCACAGCTTCCTCGTAATGTCATCCTACACGCAATGCACTCACGTGAGCATGGATAAACTAAGTTGTCGTAGTTGTACCTCCAGCTGCGCGATTGTTCTCTGAAGGTTCCTTACTTCGACTAGCTGGATACGAACCTCTTCTTCTTTTTCCTCACTCAGCGTCGATAATCTGCTTTCCATGGCTTTATATTCCCTCCTTAAATGCCAGCTTTCTTCCTCTGTTCGCTTCTTTGCCTCCGTCTGCGTCTTGAGGCTCTCCTCAAGCTCGGAATTCAGGCACTTGCATTTTGCGAGCTCGGAAACGACCGCATCAAAGGAAATCGTCGTCTGCTTATAAGCTTCCTCCAGGTGCCCAAGAGTTTCCGATATCACTGATTCCTTGGCTTGGAAGCCTTGATGTGCCGACTTCCAGTGAAGTTCTAAACAGGAGGTCTTGCTCTGTAAATCAAAACATAAAAATAAAATCAGATCGTTACATCTATAGTAAAAGAAGGTGAACATACCTCTATCATTTCCTGCAAGCTTAGAAGCTTACAATCCAAATTGCTGCATTCGAGCAACTTGCATTTTAAATCTTCAATCTCGCCTGTAAGTCGCATGCACTTATTCGCAGTGTCTTCTCGGTGATCACGTTCAGCTCGCAGTTTCTTTTCAGCACTTGCAACCTCCTCTTTCAGGCTGATAATCAACGTCTTGTACTGCTCAAGTTCGGCTTCCAGATTCGTCAGCGTCAGCTCTGTAGAAACATTTTGTCCCGTGAGGCCTGCGACCTCCATCTGAAGCTTGTTCACCTGCCCGTCCAACGATGTTTTCTCTGTTCGGAGCCCGATCAACGTTTTCGTGGTACTTTCCAAGTCGGCCTTCAACACCTCAAGCTCCAGGAGAATTTCTTGTTCCTCTGTTCTTGTGGACGCCTCCAGTCGTCCAACCTTTTCCTGCATTTCTGCGAGCTTTCTCTGCCATTCTTCTTTGTCCTTGCAATGCTGAGTAGTTTTTCTCTCCAGCACCTCCTCCAAGCTTCTGTTTTCGGACACAAGAGCCTTCAACGCCTCCTCGGTCGTTGCCAGTTGAGACTTGGTCCGTCCAACACCTTGCAAGTGTTCAAACTGCTCCTGCAACTCCTCCAACGTTGATTGCCATTGAACACTCTCAGCTTCGAGACTTTGAATTTCCGCCTTAAAAGCTTCTCTCTCCCGAATCATGGCCGCGTTTTGCTCCTTCAGCCGTCGTAACTCGTCTCTTAGATATGCGATCTCGCATGAATTCTCCTCGAGCGCCACCCTTAAGAAACCTTGCGATCTTTTCTCTTCTTGCTCCTGTTGCAGCTTACTCAGTAGCACTTCAAGCTCTCGATTGCAAGTTTCGATCCGCTGGTCCGACTCCTTCGAAAGCTGGCCAAACTGCTCGTCCAGGAACGCGATGCTACCCAATGTTTTCTCGTATTCTTTCACCAGCCTATCTTCCAGCGAGCCGCATGTGAACTGAAGTTCTTGAAGGCGACCTTCCGAGTGCCGTGCCATTTGAGCAAGCGAACTGAACGATATCCTCAGCTCCTTGACATGAGAGATGAACTTGCAGTCGCCCTCCTCTTGGTACTCAGCCCTGCCGACGTTGCATGTAACAGCCTGTAGCTTCTCGCATAAGTCACGAACGAGGTTTTCAGCCACGCTTCTTTCGAGGGCGTAGGCCTCCTTTTCCCCTTCCAAGCGCTTCAAGTGTGCTTCGAGCTCTGTCACTCTTTGTAAAAGAGCCTCCGAGTCTTGCAATTCTCTCCTACTCTCTTCGTGCGCATCTTGGACCAAAACTTCCAGCCGCTGTTTCTCAGCTTTTGTTGCTTCCAAAACCGACTCAAGCTGTTCGTTGGATTCCTGCATGCTGTTCAGTTCCTGGGAAAAGTTCACTAGTTTAGCTTCCAGCTGGTCCATCCTGATCTCCCTGGCCTCTACCTGGTCCATATAGCTCCTTAGCATGCCGTCAACTTTGCCCTTCTCCACCGTAAGTTCCACAACCTTTGAATCCAAGACCTCCAGCTCCACAGCCTTCTTCTCCAGCTCTTCTTGAAGCCTGAGAACTTCACCAGGATCCACAAGCTCCACGTTGTTTGTCAATGGCATCTCATCCTCTTCGAGTGATGATCCATTGTCGTCATGCTGGCGAGCTTCAAGTTCGTCCTCTGAGTTTCGCCTGTTGATCATAAGTAGCGAAAAAGAACGTCTCAGCTCCTTCATATGGCACATGAAGTCCAACTTTTCCTTCTCGTCGGAATCACTTTGTGAGCCGGACACGATGCTTTTCACCCGTTTGCACAGATCCCTTGCGAGATTTTCTCCCACGCATCGTTCCAGCAGGTAGTCCTCTCTTTCCATTTCCAGGCGTTGCACTTGGTCCTCGAGCTCTGCCACTCTTTGCGAAAGGGATTCAGTGCTCTCAGCATCTTCGACCATCTGTTCCAAGTGTTCTTTCTCTGTTTTCGCGGCGCCTAGGAGCGATTCAAGCTGCTCGTTGGACTTCTGCACGTGTTCCAGCTCCTGTACGAACTCTAGTAACTGTGACTCCAACTGATCGATTTTCAGCTGCCTGGACACTTCCTGTTCTCGGTGCATCTTTGATAAGTTCTCGAGCTCCATGATCTTCGCGTTCAAAGTTTTTACTTCTTCTGACTCACCATCGGTCGTCGACTTGCCTCTGTTTGTGATTTCGCTGGCTCCTGTGGTACTATCTTTCTGGAGCTCAGCGATAAGATCTTCAGAGCCTTGTACCAGGGCCTTCAAATCGAAAAGAAGCTGTTCCTTCACGGACGCATAGCAGTCGCCAACTTGTGTGTGCCTGTTAAGTTCGTCCAGCACGACCTTCATGTTGCTCAAGTCCTCCGAAACTGCCGAAATAAACATCTTAAGCCTTGGAGTCTCGTCATCCATATGCTGATCATTGTTCCTGCTGAGGTCGAGGATCTTGTCTATATTCTTCGTCTCGGCTGCATAGCTGTACTCGCTGTATCTCTCCTCCCCTTCAAGCGTTGCATCGCCCTCTGCGCAAGGATTGTTGTACACTTTGCACTTCAGCAAGCGCTCTGTGTCTCTGGTGTGCTCTTCCAACGAGTCTTCCAAGTCACGGACAACCAAAAGCAGCTCCATATTAGACTTCCGCAGATTCTGGAGCTGAATGTTCAAGCTGGTATTCTTGTCTCTCTCCAACCCCAGCTCCTCCTTGAGCTCGTCAATGATGTATATGTGTTCCTTGCAGTCAGATCTCTTCGTAAGCTCGGCACTCCGGTTCTTTAAATCCTCCAGCTCTGAGTGGAGAACATTCCGTTCCGCCAAGTAAGACGATCTGTCAATATCCGCATCCATCTTTAAGTTCGCAAGCTCCTGCTTCTGAGCCGCTAAATCCTTCTTCAACGCCTCCGCTATGTTTTTCCAGTTTTCTAGTTCCCTCCCGGAATCCTTGCGTGTCGGATGATCTCTATCCCGTGGCGGCGGGGTGACAGCCCTTGCAGGAGAAGACAGAGAGATATACGAAATGGCTATCATCCCTGACTTCTTCTCTGCATTTTGAGTGGGAGATGACGGTAGTACGCGGCTGCACTCGCCCGTTGCACTGGAGGCCACTGGTGACTGGGTTCCCACACTGAACTGCAGATTTTTAAGGAAACAACACAACTTAAGATCTTCAAAGTACTAAAGAAAAGAAGCGTTGCGTACCGTCCGACAAAGATAATGAGCGGGGCTGTTTGTGCATGGTAACGACGTTCCACATGCAGAATACATTTCTGTTTCGGTATCGGAAACATGTCCAGAGTGAATCCATGAAAGCGGCTTATTTATGGATTTAGGAGTCAAGCACTGTATTTTAATCTGCAGCCAACAAGCGCCCTTCGTGAGAAGAGTTCTTTTGCGGGATCTAGCAACTTACATGTAAAAGAGTGCCTGCATAGCAGAACCGCAAGGGTAAAGTTACTGACGTTGGGGAAGCGGCGGTGACATACTCGGTTATATTGATAATGACTTCTCCCAGAACACAAGAGCGAGAAAACCCCTGCAACATCAAGTACCAGTGAGAACGTCTAAGAAAAGCAAAGGAATTACCTTGGCCACGACGAACTTGTATAGTTTCTCGTCATACATATGCGTCTTCATGTCCAGTATAAGCTTGGCAGTTTCCAAAACTGCATCTGGCCAATGACACTGACCATTTCGAACAGAAGCTTTGCGAGTTTTCCCAGTCACTTTTCCAGAATCCAAGGAGACAAGGGACACAGCCAGCTTATCCCATGCCGTATGAATCTACAATAGACATGAGAAATTCACGAAGAGCGGAAACAAAAGACTTACCTGCGTCGCGTGAAAATGGATACTAAAGTCCACTTTCTCCTTGACCTTCTTGGACGCCCTCCTAGTGCAATTGAACATCTTCCCCAATAAGTTTCTCTCGAGCTGTCAAGCCTCAGCTCTACGAACTCATACCGCAGCTTCGCATCCTTCTCTAGCGGTACTCGTCGACTCTCACCGTCCTGCATCGTTTCGTGTTGCGAGAACACGAGAGAGAAAAAAAAACTCAGCTCAATCGGAGAGTAAGAAACACCACAACACCTCCTAGCTATGTTTCCTAGAATCAAAGCACACAACCAACGTACAACCTACCAGGAGAAGAGATGCCAATGCAGCCTTCCAAAAGATTTTCCTTTCTCACCAACCAGCCAGCCTTTTCTCGGTCCCAACTTCCAACCAGAGATCTGCAAAGGCGAAAAAGCAAGAGCTCCTCAATTTAATCTCAAGAGCACCAGTCCTTGCCTGTCAATGCCACAAACACGAGATGAATTGCTTGCATTCGACTCCAAAATCCACGAGGCTAGGGCGCACCTGGATCCGACCACAATGCCTCTGCGCCACATTGAAGCTCTTTGGCCGCGTCCTCCGCCAGCGCCAACAAGGCGCCACAGCTTTGCAGTGGTGGAGCAATCGCAGTGCCATTGAAGGGCCGCGGGGCGCTTTCACTCTCTGGCACATCGCGCAGGCAACGATGAAAACCCTACTTACAGTAGAGAGGGCGGGGAATGCATGGAAATGAAATAAAAGCCCTCATTCAATCGTCACTCAGGGCCATTGATTCTTAACTCCTTCCTCGTGGACCATTGATTCTCACCTGGTCTGGCAGAACAGAAAATATTTTATGACTAGTATTGCATAACTAGAGCAGAATGTTGGGTGGTTAACAAAGCTAGGCTTGGAATTTAAAACAAATCATAAACTATTATGATTTGTGATTTGGAGCCATTTGGATGATTTATGATTTGGAGCCATTCGCAAGTGCGAATGGCTCCATTCACACTTGCGCTTTATATAAAAATATTTTAAAATGTGTATTTTGATTTTTGTGATTGTTGCATTAGTAATTTTTAGGTTGTTTTAAGATTTAAGTCCCACCTGCAAAAGTTTTTGTGGTAAAAATTTAACGTAAAACACTAGTGACTTCACACCTGACTTACTTTAAAATGTCTTCAAAAGAGCATTTGAATATGTCCAAGATTCAAGAAATCGGCATCTCCACGGCCTTAGCCCCAAGGCAGCCTACCTCCTCGAGCGACAGCTGGACCTAGTGCTCGTCTTCCAGCCCCAAATGCTCCTCCACCACAGTTGCTCTTCACTAGATGCCACTGCCCCAAACCCACACCATCTCCTCGTCAAAGCCTACAGCTCCTCCTTCCCCAAAATCAGCTACTCCTCCTTCCTCCACCAAATCCCCAACATGATCTAACCCTAGGGCAATGATTGCTGTTGGCTCCCCCACCATAAAATGCCTAACCTCATGGCAGCTTGCGGCAAAAAACTGAAATGCCCTAATCAGGGCACTGGAATCTTCAAGGAATCATAGAGATTCCTTTTAAAAATATTTTAAGTTTAAAAGAACCCCCCCCCCCCCACCCATCTTTTAAAATCAGTCTGAATGTTTTAAAAAGTGAAAACATTGTGTTAAAGTTAACACTATGTGCGAATCAAAATGTTTAAAAAAAATATCCTAAATTTTAATGTAAAGTAATTTACTTTATTTTAAAACATAGTGCGAATGTATTCATCACTTAAATTTAACACATTTCAAGAATAAAGAGCAAGTGCGAATGGCTCCACTTGACATTTCGCTGGATCTTTCCTCACCCAATGTCCTGTCCATGATTATTATGTCCTGTCCACTTGGCCATGGAGTCTTGCAGCTCCTATTAGCCTTGGGACTAAGCTGGAACACAAAACAGAAAAGTCAAGCTAAACATTGAAACTTACATCCTCACTCCAATCTATGCCTCAGTACTCCTTGGTAACCCTAGAATTGACAGTGCATTTCCGAGAGTGTAGTTTACTTGAAGATTAAATTTAGGTTTAATCCACAGTTTTCTTACAGCTCACGACACTAGTCTGAACACATTTCAGGAGTAGATGTTTGGTCCCAAGACATTTCCAGATGTTGTTGCTGTAAGAGAATGGAACACACCTTTGTTCACTTGGTTCTATATGTTACTTTGAAAGGAGCTTTATTCGTGAACAATTAACAATCTCCAAGCCCACAATAGGTTTGAGATGGTTTAGCATTCATATGGTGAGATGAAATATTTGGGAAACAAGGATGCATTAATGATTAACATTGCTTGAAGTAATAAGTGGAGGATAAATCAAATGTAGCTCCAAAAAGTATTGATGATTAGTTTGAAGTTACTTATAACTTTTCTATCGATTTCTAGTTATAAATATAATATAGGGGGCTTATCTAAAACTTCACAGGGCTTTTATACAAAATTGGGGCCTTTTGGTTTGATTAAGCAAGCTTGTAAAAGGTTTTAGAATATATCTAAAATATACTTGTATATTCTGGGATATTTTACCAATCTAATGGATCACTTTAAGAAGAGAGTTTGGCTTTTATTCTCTGCTAAAACTCTTATCCCATCCAAATGAGTTATGGTGTTTTTGCTACTAAATTCTGAACAAGCTAATGAATTTAAGAAATTCTAGATTTTGGTCACAAAACTCAGCACATGGCTGTGGATGGTCATATAACAGACCATAAATAGTCCTCATGTAATCTTGTATTTATAATTTATAAATATGTTTATAATTTATTAAACACTTCTTAGTGTATTTTAGTTTATTCTACCATGTAATAGTTGATATATAAGAAGATTAATCTTGTGCTTATAAATTAATTAATAAATTATTATTAATTATAATTAATTAATCATTTAGATTAATAAATAATAAGCACTACTGTTTTCAATGCAGAAAAAATTATTTACAATTAAGTTAAATATAAAAAATTTGAAGGCCTTTGATAATTTTCTCTGATTTAAAGCATAGACTCTGTTTATATCTATTCTCTCTTCCCAACAATCACAATTGTTATTGCATCTCTAGGTTTAAATGATGTTCTCAATGATAGTTAAGCTCAACCTAGAATGGAAGGGAAAGCGAAAGTTTGTGTTAAAAATTCACTTCATTTATAATTTACTTTAACTTAATCATTTTTTGTTTGAACTATGCATTGTCCAAGAACTTCAACTTCATGAAGTAAAAGTGGAGGCATTGTAAACTTTGTCCTAACAAGTTTTTGTGTTAACATGTTTTATCTTTCAGACATGGATTTTGTAAGAGTATTTTTGAAAGTAATTAATCTTTCAGTCTCAAAGGATGTGATAAAAAGGTTTGAGTTCCCATTTATGGTGCACGAAATTTATGATACTATAGATTTCTAAGTTGGTGAGGTTAGCTCTTAGAAACATATTCATCTTTGGGACCCCAAGGCTTTGTCAACTAATCATTATTTGCTAAGCAATTTTTAGGTGCTATGGTTTGAAAAAAAATCAGGATGACGTATTGGCATCCAATAGCATGGCAACACACCTTTGTTTGCTATTGGATGAGGCAAGAGAAGACAGAAGTGTGCACTCCTTATTCAACCCTTTGGTTTGGGTTAAAGTAGCATTGCTAGGGGAATGTGAGCAGGTCATGTGATAAAAATCAAGGGGAGATTAGTAGATTAGCAAACCTTGGTGGAGAGAAGCTAACACAACTAAGGGTGTTTCAGCTTCTAGTTTTGTGTGAATTGGTTAGAGAATCATTGGGGAACAGGTACAAGGATGCAAGCAAGTGAATTACTTTCTTTCAAATGGAGAAGCGATGCTAAAATACATGATGTGCTCATAAATGTCTGATGAGAAGTCCTTTTTATTTCTTAATTGTTTTAAACAACATTTATTCTGGCATAGGGTCTTATAGGAGAACTAGAGCAAGTATAGTAGACTTTTCTTTGGTAAAATCATTGAATGTTTTATTTCAACATTTTTGTTTTTCGAAAGGTGGATTTTGAGATAGAAAGAACAAGAACAATCTGAGCTCTCAACTTTCTGGATTTGTCATCAGTAGAGCTTGACACATTCTAAAGAAACTATAAAAAACTAATATAAGTCAAGATTGTGAATATATTATATAAATATCTATTAGTGGACATCAATTTTTTCTAACAAGCACCACTAGAGTGGAAGGAGAGGAGATCTAACAGGTGTTGAATAAATGGCTTTGTCAACTAGTAAGCATTTGTTGGGTATATTCTAGTTTGAATTCCTTAATGTTAGACTTCGTCTAATCCAAATTAATTTCATGATATACTAGAATCTAGAAACTTATTTTTTATATGTCATGTTTCTGTATGTCATAAGGTTAAAAGTATCATATACAGTTTATAATTTTTATTACAGATATTATTAAAATTTGTGATCTTATAAGTTTATTAGCTGTGTTCATCAAAAAAGTCTCTCTTTGCCTAAGTTTTTCACAATCAGAGAAGTTTTACTATGGCTGATTTAGTAGATTCATCAAAAATTGAATGTAAGGGGGAACAAGATGTGACTACTATTGTGTCACAGCAGGATGATGATATTAGATTTATCAGTAATAATCTTTTATCTAATTATAAAGAAGATCTTCTAAAACATCAAGAAGAATTAATAACCACTAGAAAAAGAATCATCAGAACAAATGCAACATGCTTTAGAAGCTTTGGAGTCTTTTGACTTCTTTAATTGAAGGTGACATAAAACCAACCAAACTCATTTTGTGGGCTTTGTTGCTCACACTATTGTAGTTGAACCAATTTCAATTCTTCATAATGCATGGCAAGCACTTTTTGGCCCTTATGTAGACAAGTGGCTAGCTGCTATGCAAAATAAGATGCAATCTCATGAGAAGAAGGGCACCTTTATCAAAACAGAGCTGCCAACTGATGGTCATTTGATTGACACCTATTGGGTGTTCTCAGTTTTTTACAATTAATATTTGAGCATGAAGGAATTCAAGGCATGTTAAGTGGCACAAGGTTTCACTCAGGTGGCTAGATTGGATTTCATAGAGACTTACTCTTTAGTTATGAAGCTAGCTTTTATTTGCATGATCATGACGCTTATAGCTGCTTGGAACCTCAAACTTCACCAAATGGATGTGCAAACAGCCTTTTTGAACAACAAACTTGAGGAGGACATCTACATTGGCTTTGTGGAGCTAGGTACGGAACATCAAGTTTGCAAACTAAAGTGTACCCTCTATGGCTTAAAACAGAGTCTTTAAGCTTGGTATAAGCGGATTGATACTTTCTTCTGCTCCCTTGGCTACACGAAAGGTGCTGCTGATGGAAATGTGCACCCCTATTTAGTGGCCAAGCTGTTTGTGATTGTCGCACTTTATGTTGACAATTGCATAATGGCTGCTAATGCTCTAGCTATGCTGCTCACTCTCAAGTCCAAGCTCTTTGCTGAGTTTGAGATGATTGATTTGGGTGAAGTTCACTTCTACCTCAGTATTCAAGTATTTTGTGATCGTCAAGTAAGCACAATTTCACTTTCACATGCACACTATGTGAGAGAAGTGCTCAGCCAGTTCAATCTGACTGATTGCAAATATGTGCCAACACCTATTGAGCTAGGCACCAAGCTCTTTGTTGTTTCCTCTCCATCATCCACAAGTGATCGTGAAGCAATGAGTGGTGTGCCTTATCAGCAAGCTATCGGGAGCCTGGTTTATTTGGCCGTTGCTACAAGGCCTGATATAGCTCATGTTTTTAGAAAATCCTGGCCCCAAGCATTGGATGAAGCGCATCTTGTGCTATCTTCAAGGCACACATGACTTTGCTCTAAGGTACAAGGCTTCTGCAAATTCTACAGTGCTTGGCTTTTGCAATGCAGATTATGGTGGTGATTTGGACACCCGACAATCCACTACTGGCTATGCATTCATGCTCTATGGTGCTTCAGTTAGTTGGTCTAGTCGTAGGCAATGTCTTCCACAGAGGCTGAATTCATCACTATTTGAAGCTGCTAAAGAAGCCCTTTGGTTGCAACACCTATCCAAGGATCTGCTGTGTGAGGGGGATGGTCCACTCCTCCTCTATTTAGATAATCAGAGTGCACTGGCTCTGACCAAGGAAGATCGTTACCATGCCAGGAGCAAGCATATGGACATTCGCTACTACAAGATATGAGAGCTGGTTGAGAACAAGCATCGAGTTCAGGGATGTCTTCATGACGGATACAATTAACTATAACTATATGCGTACTCTGGACTGTAATGTATGGTTTGAAATTTAATGAGTTGTCATGCACCAAAAAAAACTTATGAATCATTGCTGGATAGTATGTTAAAGAGCTTTTGGACCAGGATCAAAGACAAACCCAAAGTATGCGCGTGGGTTGCTTATTGTGACTACCAGTGTCACTTTGTAAAACACTCACCAACCAGGGGTATGAGGAAGATACACCAGCAGATTTGAATATTGATGATGAGGAAATGCTGGAAGTGGAAGAGCTTGGCACTTAGGATTTGTACAATGGCATGGTTATAAATGAGAATCACTAAGCTTAATGTAGAAGTGAAGAGGTATTGGATGGTCATGGTTTCTGAATTGAAGGACCTATATCTTTCTTTTATCCCGCCTAGCAAAGTTGATCACTGTTTATGGAGGCTGCAAAGCCAGGCGCATATGGCACCTATTTTGATGCAGACTTGGTGGCAGCTTTTGCATCTGTTGATCACATAGGATTTCAGGGGAAGTTAAGGAAAAAGTGGAGTTGTACTGAAAGCTGGCACTTAATGGTGAGAAACTAGTCAAGGAGCACCTTTCATAAGAGGTAACAATCTGTCATATTTTGAATGTTTGATAAATAAATTGCTACGTGTTGCATGTAGCAACGCTTGGTTTGCTTAATACTAGTGTTATTATTACTTATTAATCTAATTGATCAAATAAAGTTTATAATTATAAGCATGTTTGTAATTCATATATACAAGATTAATTTTATTGCATATCAACCATTAGATGGTAGAATTAAAAAGAATATACTAGAAAAGGTTTAAGAAAGTTTATAAATTATAAACATGTTTATAAATTATAAATACAAAATTAATCTAAATGAATAACAACCGTTAGATGGTAGAATATCCTAGAATATCCAAGTATATTCTAGGTATATTCAATACCATCCTAGTCCCCCTATAAGTTTGCTTAAGCAAACCAAAAAAATTGTGCAACCTTTTAATCATGTTTTACATAAAAAATATTAAATATTTTGTGAAAATGTTTGACACTAATAAGTTGTGGAATGGAATCAAGCCTTTAAGTTTCATAAGGTTTGTCCACGTGTTGTGGTTCAGCCAGTTGATTTGAAACATTATGCAAAACTTAGTTAAGTTATTTTTTGACTTTTAAAATCCATTTCTTAACCTTCCTCAAACTTTGAAAACAGCACAGTTTTAAGGAGGCTACCAAGTTTCAACTTTTGTTCATGGCCTATTGTAAGCTTATGAAAAAAACTGCTATTGCAGTGGCGGCTGAAGCTAAGGCTGACATTCTACCTAGAATCAAAGCTTTTTTTATTTTCGGCAGCCTAGAATTTGTTTCTTAGCCTTTCTCAAACTTTGAAAACAGCATGGTTTTAAGAAGGCTACCAAGTCTCAGCTTTTGTTCATGACCTATTGTGAGCTTATGAAAAAAGCTACTATTGCAGTGGCGGCTGAAGTTAAGGCTGACATTCTACACGGAATCAAAGCTTGCGAGGGTAAAAGCATTGTGGAGACGCTCATTAGGCCATAGTATTTGATTGAGCCTTTACCAAGAGCACATCTGGATACACCAACACTTGGGACTGCAGCCTTCACTGCGAAGTTTACCTGTAGCTCATAGCTGGAGGTCGAAAACTATCCTGGCACAAATCTCTGTCCGCGGAGTTTGCTGGCGCAGCTCTATGCCAGGGACCTCCGTTTGCATAGTAGTATTTTGGATACAGTGCATCGGGCAGGCTCAAGCAGCTTTCTGGATATGTCTGAGTATTCATCGAAAATGATATCAGAGCAGAGCACCAAACCCCAGTGGACAATTATGTGCAGACTTGTTGGCCACGATTCAAAGTTGAGCGTAATGATAGAGATAGAGCCCGAGATGTTAATGGTAACATTGAGCGGGCTGCAGCGACTGGCCACCCAACTTCCCCGGAAAGCAGAATCGGACCCTCAACTAAGCGTGTAAGAGATAATGCTAGTGACTATGAACAGCAGCATGGCTCCAAGTCTCAAATGCGTCCCAAGGAAACAGTATGATGTAACTAGGCCGTCCATTTTGGCTTTAAAAGTTGTTAAACCACCTCGACAGGTGATGTTGCAAGAAGCTATTGCAATTGTAATGGCACCTCAAGATCCTTCCAGGTATACTCCGTCTCCTGTTTGTATCTTTTCCCGCGTCTGAACGTGGACGCTCCACAGGAATTTCAGAATTTTCCGTTTAACAGATCCTGGCAGAATGAATGTTATCCAACAATGTCCTAAGCGTCATGAAGGCACCAGCGACAAGTGCAGTCACGTATATCTGGATCCGAAAATTAATTTTCAAGTCGATTTGAGATAACACCTTGTCACATAGATTTGCAGCATACTACATTGTACTGTGTAATTTATTGCAGCATTACCGAGATCCTCTAGCATTGGAAGACTCCTAACATCATCTCTCAGCATTGGAACGATTTATGGATTTCTGGATAAGTCCTTTGTATTCTCCACATTAGAAAATACATTTCAAAACACTTACTTTATAGCAGCATTAGCAGCTTTGTACAAGCACATTGGACGGCTAAGATTCAATAAACAGAAGGCGTGCCATGGTATGTCAAAAGTGGCTCTTTCAGTTTCACTCAATCGCGACTGATAGGGTGAGCAAGATGGTAAGAATGCTGGCTGGTCTGCTCTTGGTGCTTTCAGTGATGCCAGCTCTTGCTGCGGATCACGTCGTAAATCTCACGCCCGAGAACTTTATAAAACTGGTAGGGCAGGATCGAGGAGCTCTTGTCGAGTTCTTCATTAACAGGTAGCTCCCCCATTCAATTGTCACAACCTGATCGATTGCTTTGTTCCGACTTAGTTGCGCAGTTGTGGAGCTTGTAAGAAGCTTGAACCTGAATATGAGAAGGTTGGTTTGGCATTCAGGAAAGTCAAGAAGACCGTGCTGATAGCCCATGTAAGAACCGCAGTGTCGAGTTCTTTGTGATGGCTCATTCCGATTCACAGGTGAATTGCGAATACCATCCTTTAGTGTGTGGGTATTGTAACATCAGCAACTACCCAACAATCGAGTGGTTCCCGAAAGGATCAATGACTGCCAAAATGTAAGTTCCTGCTGGTCGATTTTCAAGTAGCTCTGAGGTTACCATGGTTGCGTTGTTTAGTTATTCCGGAACTCCAACTAGCAGAGGCCTGAGGAAGTTCGTAAATGCACAAGCGAAAAACCACAACAAGAAGGATCTGTATTGAATTCCCACAAGTTCAAACAAGAATATCCGTACTTATCCTTGAACATTTCTATCTTTCAATCGAACGGCTGACAATTAGCACGGATCAGAGTTGTTACGTCCTAACATCCAACCAGTGTATGCCATTTGGGATTGGGGACAACCGGATGCGGGCTTCTTGACGGCTGGATCTCATCCTACGATCTGCGAAAATGGAGAGAATGTTGGCGGTTTTGCTGCTGGCGTTTTTGGAGCTTTTGCTGCAGAATCTGATGTCGTTGTGCTTACACCTGACAATTTTGAGCAAGTAGTACGGCAGGGTCGAGGAGCTCTTGTTGAGTTCTACGCTCCCTGGTAACCAAGCATTGCATTGCAGCTGGATCTAGTCTTCTGGAGGCGATTTTAATCTGGTCTCTGAAATTCCAGGTGCGGGCACTGTAAGAAGCTAGCTCCTGAGTACGAGAAGGTCGGATCGGCTTTCAAGAAAGTGAAGAACGTAGTGATAAGCAAGGTAACCTTTTTATGAAAACTTCAGTACCTCTGTGCTCATAGTTTAGTTCGGCAGGTGGATTGTGATGAACACAAGTCCCTATGCCAATCCCCCTCGGAAACCACTTGGATAACCGCTCACATGGCTCCGGTAAGTCAGTCTGATGCATGCTATCAGTGATACTAAAACATTGATTTTGTTCTGGAAGGTTTATGAGGAGGTTGCAACCGCGTTCAAAGGTGAGAAGGGTGTGGTCATAGCGAAGCTAGATGCAGATGCTCACAAGGATCTGGCGTCCAAGTAAGCTTTTTCAGTGTCTTATGTATAGTTGATTGTAACCTCTGCCTATCTTTCAGATATGATATTAGTGGCTATCCCACAGTAAAGTTCTTCCTGAAATCCAACAAAGATGGAGAGGATTGTGATGGGCGTTCACTAGAGGAACTCGTGGAGTTCCTGAACGAAAAATGTGGTACTTACCGTGACACAAAAGGCCATCTTACAGAGAAGGTACGCTCTACTTTCGTTGCTTGCATGCAGCTCACAATATTACAGGCCGGCAAAGTGGCGAGTATCGAAATCATTGTCGAAGAGTTCGTAGCTGCTTTGCCAGAGAAGCGTGAGGCAGTGGCAAAGCGGATCGAGGAGGCCATTGAGAAACTGGAGGGTACTGCCGTGGGGTAAGCTTCGTATTTGGAATGCTGTGGTGATTGTTGCAATATATAATTTCTCGACTTCGCAGATACGGGAAGATCTACGCGAAAATCCCCAAGCATCACCCCATTGAATTTATCAGAATTTTTTGGATTGTTAGCAAATACACCTTTGCATTTTACAGGCACTGCCAGGGCCTCCAAAGAAGAAATATGCCCCATTCATAGCCGAGACACTAGTAGCAGTATAGCAATTTAGGTGTTTCAGCTTCTCTTTTCATCCCAATTGTTGGCTGCATCGCACCACTAGAATCCAGGTACTGTATTCTTCTCTGGTATGCAAATTACCATATCCCTGGGATGGAAATTCTCCACTTCCCATATCAGTCTTTGTGTGTCTTGCTCCGTTTTCTTTATCATAGTAACTTCCAAAGTGTCATTCTGTAGAAATTAGAATAGATTTACCCGTCAATTTTGTAACCACCAATTCTTTGAGCCATCGTCCTGAAAAATTCAGCCAAGGCTTAAGCAACAAATACATACTAGGAGGAACATTTTCGAGCGTATCCACTCCAGACTCTACACAATATATGAGATAACCTTACGTGTTTTCCAGGTCTAGAGTCTGTACAGGTTATAGCATCCAGTATTTATGTAGCCATCGGCCTGCCAAATGTTGACAATTCTTATAAAATGTTTTATTACCAATCTGATTTACTGTCCAGTAGACAAAGAGTCGAGGCCCACTTCCTCAAGGTTCAGTATAGAAACACTTGAATTTCCACATACCTGCCATCCTGCTTCAATTTTGTTCACTGGGCCTAATTTGTTTGAGGTGATCCACAACTGCGCTAGACTGAACTCGGAAGTTTGTTCCACATATGGCTCCCAATCATTTCTAGTTGTTTCCATCTCTTTAAAGTTGCCGTTCAACTCGTTGCAGATCATGCAAAGTATCGTCAACTCTTGAGAGTTTTGCTCAGATCAGGTTCTTCATCAGCCAATGGCACTCGATTTTTTCCATAGGAATGTTTTATGATTAGCTTCCTCACAGAACCAAATCTTGCGGCTATGGTATTCGAAGTTTGCAACACCGGGATTGTGTTTTTCTTGCACGATCCAACTTCTAGACCAAACAGCTGACCGGAATTTTCTGATCGATTGTGCTCTTTTTTGTTCATCATTTGAGGGGCTAAACGAGGAATGCTGCACAACTTACCAGAAGCTGCAGTGTCTGGTTTCTTACAGACAGTTGATTTTTAATTGGGACGCAGAGGATGATGTCTCCATTTGATAACTGCAATTCGGAATCTATGTGTTCACAAGGGTTTGAAAAAAAGGAAACAAACCGTATGATTTGTGAAAAACGGAGGAGTCACGTCTCAGAGAAAATCTCTCATCTCCTCATTGAGATCTGCTGCTGCGTAAGAATGTAAGAAGCATACCATCCGCAGCAATGCTTCTGTTTCTGACATTCTTCGAAGATGACGAAAATAATGAAGGGAGAAACTCTTTGATTTGCAGATCGATGAGGGTCGCAATATCTTCTTCGTAACTTGTGTACTTGGAAATCAAAGAAGACAAAACTGCTCTATCGTCAATCTTTCCCAGCATGGGTCTTCTTGCGACCTCGGATTTCTGACTGTGGAACCCCAGAAACGTTCCGTGCAGGTGATTACCTCAAGCATTCAAGCTATCAAACCAGTCTATACGGAACGTTTCTGAGGTCCATCCATCAACTTTGGCCAAAAGAAGTTAACGTGGAGTGTTGTTAAAATTGCGCCAAGAAATCTGAGGTCGGTGTTTCATGGCAACATATTTTGCCTGATAGCACCACTATCTATATACTTCTATCACCGACCGATTTTCCTTTCTTTTATTTTGATGACGGTTGTCGACCCATCGGTATGCCAACTTCTATTTTGCAACTGCTTTGGCCTATGCGTTTCTCCAAACGGGGTTTTTCTTTGCTAAGCCAACTAAAGGAATCGTTGACAACGTCAACTTGATCCTACGACAATCAAAACAGAATGACAATTGAAAACCCGCTTGATTTACTATATTTTTATTGTTTTTAAGTGGAATGAGTAAATGGAAATGGAATGGGGACCTTATGTTTCATTGCATAAGCAAAAGAATGGAATATTTTGTTTCTTTGAGCTTCCTGATGGGGAACTTTGACGTTTGTACAAATTGCTCAAGAAATCTCTAAAGGATTTTGCGCCAAAGTGATCACTTGGCCATCTTAGAACAAAACCAAGGATTTCTTTGTCACTGGAGGACATTTATTCAAGTCTTGCAAGACCAACTTAAACGAGCTATGTTGCTCCTCAACTTTCTTCTGGCCACCTTTCCAGCATAGCTTGTTGCAATGTTTACAATACTCTTGATATTTCCCACCAGTGTTTGAACCTTGTAAGAACAAGTCTGAAGAATGACAATAACTACAATTCATTTTGTAATTTTCCTTAAGGGTTATTCAATGTAACCCTAATTATATACTGATTTGGACCTTTTGGCTGAAGGAAAAGGCACCCCCTAAGTTAGTTCAATTCTTAAAGTTTTATCTTTATCTTAAATTTTTTAAAAGAGTTCAAGATCTTGTCCCAACTGTTCCAGATCCTAGTGTGTCATTCGCACGAGTGACTCCTCCGAGGGCAAACCTTTGCTGAGAGTGACTCTTTCGACACACAGGCAGGGCAAATCTTTGCTGAGATGGTGAAGAAGGATCTATGAGGCTGTCAGCGCTAGAACCATATACCACACAAGGATTGTACAAGAGAAACACACGAGGTAACAAACATTCAAGAGCTGACAATTTATCACAGATACAATGAGTTTTTTGGAAACAAGTATAAATGTCTGGGAGCTATACGCGGAAAAAACTTCGAAGTTCAGTTTAGCACAATTGTGGATCATTTCGAACAAATCAAGCCCGTTGAACACAATTGAAAGATATGTACACACTTCTCTTTTACTGAACCTTTCTTGAAGATTTATCCTGAATTCTATGGAGGAACAGGACCTCGACTCTTTGTCTACTGGAAGGTAACTCATATGGTCAAAACTTTAGAAAAGCATTGTTATGGCAGGTTGATGGCTGCAAAACTTTAGGCTACTATAATCTCATTTTCAAGCGTATCCAGACTCTGAGAAAACCTTACGATAGCAATTGGGATGAAAAGTGGAGCAAAGGGGGTGCATATTTCTGATTTGGAGGTCCTGGAATTGTGCCTGGACCGCAAGGGTCACTAGGATTTATGATGGAAGCACAGAACTGGGGGCATTCCGAGAAGTGAACTCGGGACCCCTCGCACCCTAAGCGAGAATCATACCACTAGACCAAATGCCCATTAGCAACGTGAATAAGGAATCCACGGTAGAAAATGTGAGAATTTTTTTTTGGCCAAAGAGACTTGACATTAGCGGCATGATTAATTCTCAACATCACATTTGATTGACAAAGCATTGATGGTTAGTTTGGAAACGAGGCTGGACAGACGCGAGTGCCTGAGCCTTATCGCCTCGTGCAAGACACTCTCACAAGCCAAGCTTGTCCACTCTCGAATCGCTTCCGCCTTTGTAAACCTCTACACCACCAGATGAGATTCACGCCATTCGTGAGGACGAACAACTCCGTGGAGACCTTCTACTACCTTGGAATCCAGGGGATCAAGATCGACCAGGAGCTTCTCCCCATCCCGGCCGAGAGATTCGCGATTGCTGCCAATGGAAGCGGCGGGACGATCATCGATTCGGGAACCACTCTCACGTACCTCAATCGCGACGCGTAGCGAGCGGTGGAGAGCGCGTTCCTGGCGAGGATCTCATACCCTAGGGCCGATCCCTTCGACATCCTGGGGATTTGCTACAATGCCACTGGGAGGACCGCCGTGCCATTCCCTGCCCTCGGCATCGTCTTCCAAAACGGAGCCGAGCTGGATCTTCCGCAGGAGAACTATTTCATCCAGCCGGATTCGCAAGAAGCCAAGCACTGCCTCGCGATTCTTCCCACGGATGGCATGTCGATCATCGGGAATTTCCAGCAGCAAAACATCCATTTCCTCTACGATGTCCAGCACCCGCGGCTCGGATTCGCCAACACCGATTGCTCGGCTCTTTGAGCCCTAAAAATGTACATAAATTAGGGTTCTTCGCAAAAATTTAATTTGACCTTGGAAGAAAAGGTAATACCTTTTGGTTAAACTTTACATTTAGGGCTTTGGCTTAAAGAGGAGAGGAGCGCTCATGGTACGTGTTTTCGCCACGAACTTGGTCGATCGATCCGCGGTTTTTTTCTCGCCAGATCCGATTCGTGCTGCTCATCAGCAGGCAGGGAAAGGTGCGATTGACGAAATGGTACTCGCCATACACGCAGAAGGAGCGACTTAAGGTGGCGTGATCTCTCTTGCCTGATCGCTCTCTCCTTAGGGTTTATCGATCCCTGATGTTTGGCATGGATCCAGGCGATTCGCGAGCTCAGCGCGCTCATTCTTCCCAGAGGACCCAAGCTCTGTAATTTTGTCGAGTGGAAGGGACTCAAGGTCGTCTATAAGAGGTACACTGTGATCTCTTTGATCGACAGATCCAATTCTTGGTGGAAATTCTTTCTTCGCTTTCTTTTCGTAGGTATGCGAGCCTCTACTTTTGCATCTGTGTGGATTCTGAGGATAACGAATTGGATGGTCTCGAGGTGATTCATCACTATGTCCAAGTCTTGGACCGCTACTTTGGAAATGTGAGTTTTTCTTGCTTCTCGGGGAGTCTTGATTGGTTTTTTTTTCTCTTCTGTGGGATAGGTTTGCGAGCTAGATCTCATCTTCAACTTCCACAAGGTCCTCTAGCAATGGCCTCTTTTAGACTTGCTGAGTTAGTGTTTTTGACAGGCTTATTTCATACTGGATGAGATTCTAATCGCTGGCGAGCTTCAGGAATCGAGCAAAAAGTCCGTCTCTCGCGTCATCTCGGCTCAGGTGAGTGAAATCAATCGACTGAACCGTTTCTTTTCAGGTATAGTCCTGATATTTCAAAACTCATTCTGTAGGACACTCTGGTAGAGAACGCGAAAGAGCAAGCCAGTTCGCTGAGCAATATGATCGCCCAGGCCACAAAGTGAAACGTATAAATTTTTTAAGCATTCCTTTATATATTCTGCTCACGGCATATCTCCTTTAATGCCATGACTACGCCAACTTTTGCAGGAGCACGAGTTCCAGTATCAGTGAGCTAGCGGCGCAAGATTTCCAATCTGGCACAAAGCCACGGTTCCAGGTGCTCTAGTGACCATAAAATAAATCTTCTTCTTCTTATTAACACGGGCATAAGATTTAGACGTCATTTATAGAGCTTGAACTAGAAGGATCCAATGGATAAAATCCAGGCTTGTAGCTCTTCCCATATTTTACTGTTGATTTTCGTTCCATCCCGTCAAGTTTTGCCTTTTCTAGAGTGTAAGTTCTTCTGGGAGAATCATGGACTGTAAATAAGCTATCATTCTGCAGATCTTTAACATCAATATGCAGATTTGTGGGGAAGCTGCAATTCTTATCGGTCACAAGAATAGCAATTCTGAGAATGGTTCTGCCTGGAAGCTTGAATTTTATTTTTTGTTCCTGCCCAGGTGAAATAGGATCCCCTATTCGGGGACCATAGATAGCCCCAAATTGATCATGCAACGTTATTGTCTGGCTAGTATTGTTCTTCAATGAAAATATTGCTTCCTTCCCATGAGAGATGCCCATTACACTCTAGAAGAAGATTATAGGGAGAAACAATAATTCATTGTCAAATAGAATGAAAGTAGGAATAGAATGCTCAAGACATAGCACAACTTCTATATTAAACTTGAATTTACATATCTGTCTATTGCATCCATTGCATTGTGGTCATGCCTCAAGCTGGGCACCAAAAGACCCCCAAAATTCGTGTATTATTACTGATTTACTGGTAGTCCTATATATATATAGCAAAATAGTCAATCATGACTAAGTCCATTTTACTGGTGTCACAATTGTCCTTTCTTAAAGTCATACTTTGTGAATAGGTGAGTGATTTGAAAAGTAAATAGCTTCCATATTAGTATTCTTTATCACTATTCCCTGAAATTGACATATTTTGACTTTATAATTAAATTCTATTTCACATAGATTTAGTCTATCTTGACTAAGTAATTTCTGTGCTAACTCAGGAGCATGGGACCTACTCTATCTCACTCCCTCCTTGTATATCGTTGTTTTGGCCTTGATGGCATCCTAGCATTTACTGTAATTCTCACAAGAAGATATCCATCCTAACATCTGAAGATTGATAATATGATTTTCTACAATTTTAGCATATTCTATCACAAATGAAAAAGAAACCAATTTTTGTTTTTTACTTAATCTTCTATTCTATTTGGCATAAGTATTATTGTTCTTTCTCAAAGCATTTTTCTTACTACTTTCTCAAAGTCTCTTTAAAATGTTATAATATCATTAGATTACTTTTTATATAGTAAATATATTGAGAAATATCTAGCCATAACCATAAATATTACTAATAATGGTTGTCTTAATATGCTAATTAATTCTGTAAAATCTACTTTTGAAATACTTACATGATGATAAATGTCAATTAAAATATCAGTAATAGCCCTTGGTGGTGTTTTTTCTAAAAAGGATTGAATAGTTCTTCTATTTTCAAATATGTTTTTCTCGAAGTCCTTTTTGATGTCTTCTACTTCTGCATTTATTTGTCATACAATATTCTTTAGTTGTTGAGATTTACATTGCAATTTCAAAATAATTGATAATTTATAATGATTTGCAAAAAATGTTGCCATTGATATAAGGAGTGAGATAATTATGAAAACCCAAGATTGTTTCATAGATATATTTTTGTTACTACGAATTTGAACTACCAAATTGAGTATAACTCCCTCGAAAACAAAATACATTCCAAGTACTTGATAAATTCTGTCACCAGACAAAACACCCAATTAAAACACCACAAGTTTAAATGTGGTACCTCATTAGAAAGAACTCCTACTGAAGCTACAATGGCTCCCACTAAAATTGAACCAAGAGTCAATGGTTGAGCACTCTAAAACTCTTCATTGCCTTCAAATAATAAAGCCAAGTAAAGTTGATCCTATGATGTTGCAAGAAAAAGGGGCAGAATTGCAATAGGTACAACCAGTGAAATAAGTGATGTAATCCTAACAATTAAATCTTCAAAGGTGGAGATGTTTCAAGTGCAAGTGTAGAGTCACAATAGAAATTAGTCTCATCAAAGATAATGTTTCTCCTCTTGTACAATTTTTTCTTCTCCAAAGAATAAAGTCAATATCCTTTAGAGAAATCACTATAACCTAAGAAAATACATTTTTCTATCTTGCAAGTGAGCTTGTTTGGTCACTTCTCTTTTGGAATCAAAGGGTAAGCAATACAACTAAAAATCTTAAAATGCTGCAGAGAAGGTTTAGACCTTGTCCACCTTTCAAATGGAGTCATTGTGAGACACAAAATCCCTAGGCCCCAAAGTGGAGCCGGAAGGGTGCCACGTGGTAGTGGCCGAAGCAAGAGCCAAACGAGCGTAACACATTTGGACCAAAAGCTCCGACTTGAAAAGTCAAGAGCGGGAGTGGAACTCCCATCGAAGTGCTTGAGGAATGAGCACAAAGCAAGCAATAAGCGAGGCTCCAAAAAGGGACCCAAAAAGGACCAACACATGACACGTGGAAGTGTCTGAGATGGACCCGAGTTGGAGTCCGAAGTGGAGTCCGAGATGGACCCGAGTTGGAGTCCGAAGTGGAGTCCGAGACGGACCCGAGACGGAGTCCGAGATGGAGTCCGAAGTGGAGTCCGAGATGGACCCGAGATGGACCCGAGATGGAGTCCGAGATGGAGTCCGAGGTGGAGTCCGAGACGGACCTGAGACGGAGTCCGAGATGGAGTCTGAAGTGGAGCCCGAGATGGACCCGAGATGGAGTCCGAGATGGAGTCCGAGGTGGAGTCCGAGATGGACCCGAGATGGAGTCCGAGATGGAGTCCGAGATGGACCCGAGATGGAGTCCGAGATGGACCCGAAATCGAGACCGAGACCGAGACCGAGACCGAGACCGAGTCCGAGTCCGAAACCGGGACCGAGACCGAGTCCGAGCCCGAGTTCGAGCCCGAGTCCGAGTCCGAATACTAATACAGGCAGTTGGGTGAAAGCCCAAAGCGATCGTCCCCCAGGGGGGGGCGGGGGGGCTGCGGGGGGTTCCAAAAGTATAGTAGGGAGAGTGTGGGGGTT